TCCACCCAGTATTCCACACCTCGCGACTGAAGCCGTATAACCACCGGGCGGGTGAACCTGAGACACTACCAGGCCCTGTAGTTTTGGACGACGGCGACACGCAGGAGGACCGCTATGAGGTTGAAGTCGTCTTGGCAAAAAAAGGAAAGAGAAATGTGCAATACCTTGTTAAGTGGCTTGGATGGCCAGATGAGTATAACGAATGGGTTGCAAGCAAGGACATTGACGAACTACTAATTAAAGACTTCGAGAGAAAGACAAACTCTTAAAGATTAGTGTACAGATATAATACAGATCCACGCAAGGCGACAGCGCACAACCAGCGACACGACGGCACCACGCACTACCGCCTAGACCTCTTTGGCGTAGGAGTGGGCTGCACCAAGTCATCCTCCGAACTGTCCGTCATACCATCTTCCTGCTCAACTCCAGGGGGGCCCAAGCCACCAGACATTGTCAGATCCGCCGAACCCACCCCTTTGGCGCGGCCAGCAGAGCGAAGCTTACGCTTGGCGCGCGGAACGATTTGGGCGACACCCGTGCTCCCCGCCGGCGACTTGGGCTTGCGGCGCAGCAACGACGATCGCTTGGAAGGAGGCTTGGGCTTGCTAGCGAGACGACCGGGCTTTGTGGGCGTTGTAGCAGCGCCGGGGGCCTGCTTGCGAGGGCGACCACGTCCTTGGGAGACTGGGGTAGGAGTGGGCTCTACCGACGGGGATGAGGCGAAGTCAGAGGATAGGTCATCCTCCTCCCCACTGTCACCCCCACCAGAACTGCCGCCGCCACCTTCATCAACATCATCACCCCGGTTGTGGTTATCCGGGTAGGAAAAGGACGACTCCTGGCCGTGACGAGGAGCAGGAACAGTCAGCGCATCGAGCTCGCCGAGCGGCTCGTACCCGGCCTGAACGCCGTTAGGACGATGGCAAAACGCCAGAATAAAAAAGGGGGAACCTACCTGTGCACGGAGAACATCGAGGATGCCCTCTACTGCTGCCGCCAGCCTGTTAGTAGCATCCACCTGTAAGAGCTGGATTTCGTCCCCCTTGGGCTTGCGGGTACCACCGCGCTTGGAAAGGCCACGCTCGGTGGCCTCGACATCGGTGATCCACCGGCGGCACGCCTGTTCCCACTCGTTGTGCTCGTGGTGGTTGTCGGGCCCTACATCGCGCAAGTGCTCATACGAGAGCACCAGGGTGTTCCACGCGCGGATGGAATGCTGCGGGAGTTCAAGGCATGCCTTCTTCAGGCGCGAACAGCGGTCGCACTTGCGGAACTTCCGGCAGTTACACTGGATCAGGCC